AGTAATAATAACCATTTTGAAAACTGGGATGTTACAAATCAAAAGATGAGTAATCAAATCGACTTAAACATTAAGATTATAATCACACACACGTGTGTGTGTGTGATTTAAAGGAATGCACAAGTGTTGATAGTTACATTCAAACCTAACCCAAGAGAAGTTAGCCACTCATGATGAGGGTTCTAACTGATACAAATATGAAAAATACAAGAAGAAAGAAGAAGAAATTGGGGAAGCCAAGACCCTTATTCCCACAGGATATCAACCTTCCAAAACCCTCTTCAAAACTCCTATCTTTCTCTTGGATTTTTTCTATATCTCACGTTCCTCCTGACTTATCTCATTTTCTCCCTTTGTTTGTTATTTATATGATCTTTAAAAGTAAGGAAAAGTTGAAATTTTTAAATCCACCACTCCAATTATGGATCACTATTGTAGCAATGAGGAGTCCTTCAGAGTGAAGAAAGCTCTCAAGGCTTGGACGTTGATTGAGCGTTGTAGCGTTGATATCCCCTATTCTTGGCTTTTTCCAAATTTTTGCCACTATGTTCACAAACCAGTGCTATAGTCATAGTTCTCTAACTTGTTCATTCTTTCCCCATTCTTCACGATTGTAGTCATGAGTGAGCGTTAAGCCCATGGTTCCCTAACTTTGTTGTTTTTCCTACATAAAAAAGAGAAAATTTTAATTAAAAATTCATCACACACTTTTTAACATTTTCCTTTGAATTACTAAAAAAAATTATAGGAGAATTGTATTTAAATATACATAATAATTTCAAAAAAAATGCTAAATAACCCAATAGAATCACATATTTCATGCACTCATCATGGTTGTGGTTGTAGTGGTGAGCAATAGTGAAGAGATAATAGTAATAATTTTACAAGGGAGTGTCTATAATTGAGATTTAATCTTAACCATTAATTATTTTTATCAATAATTTAAAGGTTATGATTTACTCATTTCATCTCTCATAATAAGATGTGTTCTCATGAGATACTCTCTCTATAAATATATATGGAGAGAGATCAAATTACACATATGTAACATTCATCAATTATTATATTATCAATAATTTTATATTAAAAGTGAATATTTTTGATCTACCTGTTAAATTATATCCTTATATTACATATAATGTTTATGTCAAATTTGTTCACTCATTCCTATTTTAGTATATTTTGAGATGTAAATATATTGTTAATTTTGATATATATAAAATAAGCTGTCAAATAATTTGGACTAATATAAAATTTTGTATAGTAATTTAGGTGAAAAGAACTCTCAATCTAACTTTAAGTTTTGAGAAAACAAAATTCAATTAAAAATTATTAAATAGTGTAATAGTTTATAAAAGTTACATTGATGTAATTTGATCTATCCTCTATATATGTCCGATCGAATGATATTGATTGTCAAAATTAGTGAAATTACAACTTTTTTTATAATACGTACACAATATTTAAATTATATTATATCTTTATATTACATTACAATTTTTTTAACTATTTTTCTTTAAAAAATGTTATTTTTAAGACATTTTCTTAACTTTTATTTCGTTATAATTTATCATAATGAATTTTATTTTTAAATTAAATTTTAATATTCTTAAAAAAGATGTCAACACTTAAAAAAATTATATTACAATATAAATTATTTATTATAAGATTAAAATATAGTTTATATGATCAAAACTATTTATTTACTCTAATTTTTTAATATAATACAATTTTTATATATACAAAATGTTTATTTATTATAATTTTTATTATGTAAAATAAAAAATTAATTTTGTATATTTCATAAACTAAAATACTTGGTCGAAGAAATTACACACAATGTGAGTTTGATTTATATCAATTGTCGTAATTTTTTTCTTATCATAATTATGACCTTTTTCTCAATATCTAGTAAGATTTATATATTTTTTACAATGACAAAGTTAATATACGAATAATATATACCACTAAGTTTATTTTGAAAAATTTTACGATTAAAGAAAAGCATTAAAAGAAATTTACCATGCATTAAAATATTGTTAAGAAATTTCAAACATGAAATCAATATTAAACTCGTACCAAAAATACTTCAAAATGAAAATTTTTCATTCTGAATTCAAAAAGAGAGAGAGAAATAAACCGAATTCAAATGTGATAGAATGTTAAGAAATTTCAAACATGAAATCAATATTAAACTCGTACCAAAAATACTTCAAAATGAAAATTTTTCATTCTGAATTCAAAAAGAGAGAGAGAAATAAACCGAATTCAAATGTGATAGAAAAGGACCATATATTATTTGTCTATATATGTTTGATGCAAGTATACATAAATAGTAATTTCATAAAGTATTATGGATGTAGTTGAATTTGAATACCGTTGGGAATTTGAGAAACAAATTTGAAATCACGTGGAAGCGAACCCGCTCCCAACGGATACCGAGCCAAATCAACGGTTCACATCTCTTTCCATTTCAAATTTATCCACTTTCCTTCTTTCCTACACACACTGTATTGTATCCATCTTTGCCTTACTTCTGCAACAACAAAACCACTCTCCGATTATTCTTATAAATAAATATATAATAATTAAATTATACATCGTACTATCGACGAGTTTCATTGGAAGATTCGAAATGTCGACGCAGAATCGTCGTTCGTCGTTTTGTTCCTCAACGGCGTCGTCTTTGGCGAAACGACAGCCGTCAGTGCCGTCGGGAAAGACTCAGCCTGCGGCGAAGAGAGCGCCTCTTGCTAACCTCACCAATCAGAAGAATGCTTCGGTAATTCTTCATTATTATTTTTTTGATAATTACTCTGCAAAATGAAATCACTGAAATTTCAAAAATGTAATAGAATTTTTTTAGTTTCTTAGCTTTGCAGTTAAATCGTCTTTCAATGAAAATGGAATAAGACAGCATCATATATGTATGCACACGGATAGTGGATTAAATGGATAATTAATAAGTTTTTTTTTTGTATAAAAGAATTTTCATAAAACTTTCATGAATATAAAATGCGAGAATGCATTGATAATTTGATATGCATTTTATCTCTTCAAAGTTATCAAAAGAGGGTTTATAGATTAGTCTTGAAACTTTTGGTGTGCGGAGAAAATCTATGATTTTTACTTTCATTTATGTGATACACCGATACGTTAAGCTTAATGTTTGTGCGGAGTGGTATATTTGGACAAGATTAAAGAAAATTGAGAGATGAAAAGATAAGAATGAAAGAATAAGAATTTATTTTTTTAATTTGTTATGAATGTAAAGAAAACTTTTAGAGATGTAAAAAAATCCTTTTTTTTGTTTCATTGATCAATTGTTGTCACAAAGATCTACTTAATTTTGATGCTTAGTATGTTAGTTGTTTGCTGGGGTTTTACTTTATCTTTAGTTGTAAATTAGATGCTTAAGTATGTTGGTTGTTTGTTGAGGTTTTACTTTGTCTTTGTCGTAAATTAGCTGAATTTTGTAATGCAAGGTGTCAAGTGCAACAAAAATTGCCAAGACCAAGAAAGAGGCTCCTTCAAAAACCAATATCACAAGATCAACAATTTGTGGTAACAAATTACCCAAGTTAAAAACTATTAACTCAAGCACAGTTGTTATTCCAAAGGCTAATTCTTTACCACAAAGGAAGGATGCTGCTGCTCACACAGTCTCAGTGCCCCTTCGGAGCAGCATCGATGTTTCTCCTAGTAAATCAGATGGAAGGTCCGTTTCCATGGATGAGACAGTGTCTTCTTGTGATTCTATCAATAGTCCTGAAGTTGAATATCTGGACAACAAGGATGTTTTTGCTGCTGATTCAATTCAGAGAAAGATAATAAGTAGTTTGAACGTTTCTGATACTACAGAGCCAGAGGGTGGTATACTGTTGCAATTTTGGATTTTGATCTATTTTACTTATTGGTAATGAAGCATAGTATTTAATTTATCACTCTTTCTAATGTAGTATTGTTGATTTGTTTGCAGGTAAAATATGTAGTAGGGAAATAATTGTTGGGTCAGAAAGAGAGGACAAGATTGTCAATATCGACAATGTTTACTCTGATCCGCAGCTTTGTGAAGCCTATGTTTGTGACATCTACAAGCACCTACGTGAATCAGAGGTTGAACTTGTTTTTCCTTGTTAAAATAATGATTTTGTATTTCTTGCTTTCTATGTGGAATATAATGACTTGTTCTAGTTTTCACTTTTCATCACTACTAACCTGCAAAATGTTTACTATCAAAATGATAATTATGTATTCTTATGTCGGGTGTTCTTCCAATTTCTTAAATCTTAGGAAAAGAAAAGGCCTTCCACAGACTTCATGGAGAGAATTCAGAAGGACATAAATGTTAGCATGCGCGCTATATTGATTGACTGGCTTGTTGAGGTAATATTTCTTCATCATAAACATAGTCTTGAAATTTGTGATTTGTAATGTTAAAAAAAAAATGATATTGTATGCTAAACTTTTCAATTGCAGGTGGCTGAGGAGTATCGACTTGTACCTGATACATTGTATTTGACAGTGAACTACATAGATCGGTATCTTTCAGGGAATGCTATGAATAGCCAAAGGTTACAGTTACTCGGTGTTTCCTGCATGATGATTGCCTCGTAAGGAAGCATAATGTCCCTCTAATGTTTTCTGATCAATGTTACCTATTTTTTTATTGCCCTCTAGGCTCTAGCATTAACATATAGAACAATAATTTGGTATGTTGTTCTTGTTTACAGTAAATATGAAGAGATTTGTGCACCTCAGGTGGAAGAATTTTGTTATATAACAGATAATACGTACTTAAAAGAAGAGGTTTGCATTGAATTCTTTGGCTGAACTTTGCTGTTTTAAGTTCCTTACTCGTATGGCTTGAAGTGGCAAATCTCAGCAAAATCATTTTAAAGCAGGTTTTGCAAATGGAATCTACTATCCTGAATTATCTTAAGTTCGAATTGACAGCCCCAACAATTAAATGTTTCTCAAGGTAAATCAACTGTAATTGATAAACTATGATTTGGAAAAAAACTTTTGAAGTTCCACTGTTCTAAAATTCACATTTTCTTTTTTTGTGATGTAATTTCAGACGATTTGTTCGTGCAGCTGCTCAAGATGTCCAGGAGGTATCTTTCTCCCTGTAGCTCCTCATTTATTTGCTTTATGCATTTTCTCGGTCATAGGAAATGTTCATTTATTTAACTAGCATTTATAGCGGCTACTTCCATCTGTAGTTGCTCTTTCACCACATTTATTTTACTTTGTTATTGGCTTATGGCTCATTCCTGATAGGCTTTTTGACCCGGTTAAATTAAAAAAAAATAAAAATACACAAAATAAATTAAAAAAATAATAATTTACCGGACTAGGTAGTTTTTGTCATGTAGAGAGCCACGTGGATGAGAAAATGCATGGGGGTGGGCGTTTTTCAGAAAAAGCCCACCCCCAGGCGCCTTATGTGGCTGATGTGGCAGTTAAGCCACGTGGAAAAGAAAGAGCAGGGGGGAGGCGTTTTTCAGAAAGAGCCTACCCCCAGGGCGCCATCTTTTGCAAATGTTACACGTGGCACGTTTGTGAAGAAAGAGCATGGGGGAAGGCTTCTTCTGTTGCAGGGCCACGTTTGTGAAGAAAGAGCATGGGGGGAAGGCTTCTTCTGTTGCAGCCAAGTTTGTAAAAAGAGAGCAGGGGGAGGCGTTTTCAAGAAAAAACCTCCCCCAGGTACTATCTGTTGACGTCCTGATACGTTGTAATGCGCCTCTCCCCCAGGCGCTATGAAATTCAGACACTCCCTCCTAATAATTAAATGTAGAAGGTGTTATTGAGTTTTATAAAATTCACTTCTTCCGGTGTGGTCCAGGTGCTATCATATTTTATTTGGTGGTCCAGGATAGTGCAAGTGAGTAATATATTTTATTTGTTGTAATTTTAAATTTTAATTTTTATAATATATTGTATGGTGATTCGTTAGTACATGCTAGTAGTTGCCTGAGTTTCATTAAAATGAATTGAAGATGGCACAACCACATCTACATGAACATACAATTCAATCATATTCATTTTATATTGTCTCTCAAAGCTATCAAACATACACTCATATTCATGTAGATCTTGAGTGTATGTTTGATAGCTTTGAGAGACAATATAAAATGAATATGATTGAATTGTATGTTCATGTAGATGTGGTTGTGCCATCTTCAATTCATTTTAATGAAACTCGGGCAACCACTAGCATATACTAACGAAACACCATACAATATATTATTAAAAAAATTTAAAATTACAACAAATAAAATATATTACTCACTTGCACTACCCTGGACCACCAAATAAAATATGATAGCACCTGGACCACACCGGAAGAAGTGAATTTTGTGAAACCCAATAACACGTTCTACATTTAACTATTAGGAGGGAGTGTCTAAATTTCATAGCGCCTAGGGGAGAGGCGCATTACAACGTATCAGAACATCAACAGATAGTACCTGGGGGAGGTTTTTTCTTGAAAACGCCTCCCCCCTGCTCTTTTTTTACAAACGTGGCTGCAACAGAAGAAGCCTCCCCCCATGCTCTTTCTTCACAAACGTGGCCCTGCAACAGAAGAAGCCTTCCCCATGCTCTTTCTTCACAAACGTGCCACGTGTAACATTTGCAAAAGATGGCGCCTTGGGGGGAGGCTCTTTCTGAAAAACGTCTCCCCCCTGCTCTTTCTTTTCCACGTCCACATTAGCCACATAAGGCGCCTGGGGGGAGGCTTTTTCTGAAAAACGCCCACCCCCCATGCGTTTTCTCATCCACGTGGCTCCCTACATGGCAAAAACTACCTATTCCGGTAAATTGTTATTTTTTTAATTTATTTTGTGTATTTTTATTTTTTTTTAATTTAACTGGGTCAAAAAGCCTTCGTGATAAGTAGTAAAATATTATTGTTATGTATTCCATTCCTAAATTATTGGCCTGTTTTTGGTGTTTTTATCTGTCCATTTCTCACAGCTGCCTTCCCTTCAACTAGAGTGCTTAACCAATTATATTGCCGAATTATCCCTCTTGGAGTACACTATGCTCTCTTATCCTCCATCACTGATAGCTGCTTCTGCAATTTTCCTTGCCAAGTTTATACTTGCCCCTTCAAAGAGACCATGGGTATGCTGCTAGCCACAATTTCTATACCACTACCTGCATTGAGGAAAGTTTTTGTATAATTATTTTTGTATGACTTACTTTTTCTCTTTCTTCCACAGAATTCAACATTGCAGCATTACACGCTCTATCGGCCTTCTGATTTGTGTGCATGTGTAAAAGATCTCCATCGTCTGTGTTGCAGCAACCATGATTCTAATTTACCTGCAATCCGAGAGAAATACAGTCAGCACAAGGTAATTTTTCTAAGCACAAACATATTTGCTATGATAACCAATGAGTTTACGTAGTGGTTATGCTCACACATTATAGAAACAATTTATTTAGTGAGCAATCCGTATTCGACTCCTCTCAAGTGTGAAAATCCTTTGAACCAGTAGCAATCACAGGATTGCAAATGAGATTGGTCTCTGACTTGGTGGTCTGGGAATATGGCAGGACAAAAGGCATAATTGCTATGATTTGTTTTTTCCCTTTTAATCAGTTTGCTTACTTCCTGTTTTTACTTAATCTGTGTAACAGTACAAATGCGTGGCCAAGAAGCACATTCCTACTTCAATACCTCAAGAATTTTTTCAGAAGTGAGTTAAGGAATCCACATTGACAATCCAATTAATGGTTGCACTGTCCAAGTTTTGGCAAAAATAATCTCTCAATGATGCAAGGACTATGCCATGTTAAAAGCATAGTTGGAACCTGAATGATATCTCATGTTGTGACACAGATCAAACATTTCACATTAATATCAATATATCATTGAGATGTGCTGGTGGAGCTAGCGTTCTACTACTATGGTTCGACCAATGGTTCATTGGCTGGCATAAGAAGTCATTAATATTCCATATGACAAATTCCGTTCTCTTGTATACACAAAACACATTAAATGCTAATCAGTTATAGGAATTAGAATATCAATCTTCTCATTCTCAGTGTATACGCTGCAGGTGTTATCTCTTCTATTCAAAATATGTTTTGTTGCTCATGAAGTTTTCTTATTCAAATCATGGAAAGAAGAAAAAAAACTTGGAGAAAAGTGACGTTATTTTCACTCGATCCCTTTACTTTTTAATAGAAAAACAAATTAAGCATGCGTTAGTATAATTTAGTAAAAAAAAATGGATAGAAAAGCCGCTTTGATTTAATTTTGCTAGAGTTATCAAAATGGGTCGGAACCTGTAAATCAATCTGGTTCATTATGGACTAATGTTAGGTTGGGCCAAAAAATTTTGGTCCTTCCAATTATGAAAAAAATTTGACCTAGCTCACCAAAGTTTGTGATTTGGTTTTCTATGGTTTGTGATGAGTCAAATTGACTCCCAGGTTGACTCACTTAATATATTCTTAATTTTATTTTTTATTTTTTAAGTTCTCAAATATTAATTTATATGATTACACATTTATACTATTGAGTAAACTTTTTAGTTATGAATTATAATAATTAGTGTAAATTTAATATTATTTATCAATATTTTACGCAACGACTCCTAATTTTGTTAATTAAGTTGGTTGTAGATGATATCTATTTTTTGACATTTTATTTATCTTATTTGTTAATATAGTTGTAATTCTAAAATATAAGATTATAATATATATTAATTTTATAAAATTCAATAATTTTTTTATATATTTTTTATAAATTTAATTGAGTTAACTTATTTAAACCATCAATTTGTTGTAGGCTGAACTAGATTGATTTTTGTTAAGCTTACTTAAAGGAGAGTTAGGTTGAATTGGATCACCTATTGCATAACTTGTGAAAGGTCAAGTTGAGTCGAATTATTTACTTTGACAATTCTAAATTTCACTTAGGTTGAAGAAGTTTTGAAATTTATTATTAAAGAGAAAAAAAATGAAACAATGTAAATTGATATTATATTTCAGTCTTATATTGATTTTATTTCTTTTAATTTTTATGGTTTTATAAAATTTATATTTTAATTTTTATACAATATTTTTTATTATAGAAACCAAAAGGTAAAGTTGATGAAATTATATAAATAATAATAATAATTAAACCTTATATTTTTTTAGTTTAATTCAAAGTAAACCTCAAGCCGTCATAAAATTTGAAAGACATTCACTTGGAAAAAACGACACAGATGCATCAAAGGGGACAATAGTCTCTCTAGAGGATGGTTATGGTGTCGAAGTTATTTTCTTCAGATACAAAACAAGATTTTAAACAAAAATCATATATTTGATTTTGGGTTGATAAATTGATTTTCAGTTGAAGGAACTTTAGGTAGCTTTTGTTTTCTATAAAAATATTATACTAAATTTTCCTACTAACTTCCTTTTAAATAAAAGGTCAAAAAATAAATCACATTCCTTTAAATTTAATTTTGAATAAAATCAATTTTGCAAATACTTGCTATTACATTTTACCAAGAGATAAGCTGCATTCAAGCACTCAATCTGTTTTACCATTTACCAAAGAACAAACTCTTTTTATCAAGTCCTAACTCTTGAAGACGCATATCAACACAAAGTATTTGATGTTTCTATATATTAATATTTTATTTAAGGTTTAATTGCTCATTTGCTCTTTGAGGAGTTTTATCTCCAAGTTATTTTTTCACAAGTTATGCCTTCAAACTTTTAGATTTTAGTGATTTGTGTTTTCTCATCAATTATCAGTTAAAGTACTAATAAAGTGTTGGCAAGACATGTATAATGTGGATAAATTTAATGACACTTTGTACTCCCTAACTTTTGCTTTTTGATGAAATTTGCTCCTAAGTAATTTTTCTTGCAATTTTTTTTCTCAAGCTTTTAGATTTTGATGACTTATGTCTCTCGGTCAATTGTTCATCAAAATACTAATGCAATGTCTATCGATCATTTTTTTCATAATGGGTTTGAATATAAAAGAAAAATACCTTAGTGAAACTTTTATGGATAATGTCACCAACTCCAAAATAAAAATAATTTTTAAGCTATTAACATGTAGTGTAGCTTACCAAACTAAACTAGAGTGTGGAAAATGCAAATGGCCTAGCTTAGATATATTATGGTAGTATTAATGGATTTATATGTTTACTACAAGGTCCAACTATAGAACCTAACCACTACTAAATTATGGAGAATACAATACATTCTAACACATTTTTTTAAGTGTAGAAATACTTGCATGTTAAGCTTACACAAAGAGTATCTGCTTTTATAAATGTGGGAACTAATGACTAGGTACTTTGTGTGACACCCTTACTACCCAACACATACATCGAAATAATATAATTAAATTAAGAAAATAAACTTTCAAAGTTGGTAAAAGGGTTCACGTGAGAAACTTCAAAAATTCATTTAATAACCACAACAGAACATTTAGATAATGAAACACAAGAGTTTACAAATTGTTTTCAAAATATATTACAATTTCAAATCCATATAAAAATTCTGTCTTAAAAATCCTATGCCCCGATGTCACACTATCAGAGCATTCCATAATTTAACTGTTGGCATTTTAGATGCCACTCGTAGCCAGATCTTCTTCACCTAAAATATCCACAATTTATACGGTGAGAAAAGAAAATATCTATATGCAAAGTACATATAAACACATCACAATATAATCTCATCATAACTCATTATTTAATAAAATATTTACAAGTATATATATATATATCATAATTTATCAATCATTCATCATCTTCACATCTTAATCCTCATCTCACATACATATCTCAATCCATCACAATCCACACCAATTATACAATTAACAATATCAATTTCACATCCATTATTCACGCCAATCTTACAATTAACACTATGCCAAGACCTCGCCACATCTGACACAAGTGATACGGGTTAATTGCCTCACTCAACCCACACCATACCAAGGGTACGCTCGTCCCTGAAGCATCACCTACCCAGGGTTTGTATCATCCCTGATCATTCAGGAGTACGCTCGTCCCAGAAGCATCACCTATCCAGGGTTCGTATCATCCCTAATCATCCAGGAGTACACTCATCCCTGAAGTATCAACTACCCAGGGTTCGTATCATCCTTGATCATCCAGGAGTACGCTCGTCCCTGAAGTATCAACTACCCAGGGTTCGTATCATCCTTGATCATCTAGGAGTATGCTAATCCTACGAAATCCTAAACCAATACACCCCCCTAAGAGTAGTTTCACAAAGTTATAAAAATAAAATAATTTAAATTCCAAACCACTAGCTTCAATTTATAGTTGTTGATAGTCAATAGATACCAAATGTAGCATGAAAAAAGGGAGACAGCATTTGAAACCAAAAGTTATTTCGGTGATAAATATTAACCCAATTTTTTTTTTACTTATTTTATGAATATATTTTTATTATTGACTAAAATTTATTAAAAATAAAATATAACTTTTTTTGAATAATAATTAATATTGGTTGAAATTTATTAATAATAATAATAATATTTTTTTTGGAGTATTATAACATCCTACTTTTTATAAAATTAAAATATTATAATTATGTAATATATGTTTTATTTTATTAGCTTAAATTAATTTAATTAGTTAGACTTTTAAAATAATTAAGATTATTTAAGAAAAATAAAATAAAAGTGGACTAAAGAGTTTTGACTCTAGAAGCCCAAATCCATTGGCTAATCAAGTGAGAGTAAAAGGTTGTATCAATTTAACCTTCAGAAGTTGTGCTTAATTTTTGACTCATGAAAGAATTGTAAAAGAGAACAAGTAGGATAATTTATGGTTCATGTGTTAATTTGTGTAATTTGTGTGATCATTGTATGTGTATTATTCTTGCTGTGGATCTTAAGTTATAATTCAATCAGATAAATAAAGCACAATAGGTAATGAATTGATGCTAAAATAGAGTGAATTGAAAGAGAGTTTGTGTGTATCGAAATGGGAGTTCACATTCCTAGGACTTTGTTGCTAATAGCATGGTCATGCTAAAGGAAAGCACGACCAAGATAAGAATGAATACAATCACGCTTAATTTTAATTATGGTCGTGTTATGTGAACACAATTGTACTTAAGTTGTGTTAAGGGAGTTTTAGCACAACTTTGCTCATGTGGAGCATGGCAATGCAAAATAGATAATAGGTCGTGTTATGGTTGTTTTGAGTTAACATGCCCCATGTGGAGGTCATATTGAGATAAAGTAGGGACGTGCCTATTTTGAGCACGCTTATACTTGGAAAAGGACTGGAGCTATGCCAAATTGAGCACAACCATGTTAAGAGGCAACATGTTCAAACTAGACCTCGTTTGGCTTAAACACAAGTGTACATCAAAGTAAAATGATCATATTATAATTACATGAGCAATCACTACTACAAGATGCATATTCTACATCGGTCTCCTTGATCATCCAGGAGTACGCTCGTCCCTGAAGTATCAACTACCCAGGGTTCGTATCATCCTTGATCATCCAGGAGTACGCTCGTCCCTGAAGTATCAACTACCCAGGGTTCGTATCATCCTTGATCATCTAGGAGTATGCTCGTCCTTGAAGTAGACGAGCGTACTCCTGAATGATCAGGGATGATACAAACCCTGGGTAGGTGATGCTTCAGGGACGAGCGTACCCTTGGTATGGTGTGGGTTGAGTGAGGCAATTAACCCGTATCACTTGTGTCAGATGTGGCGAGGTCTTGGCATAGTGTTAATTGTAAGATTGGCGTGAATAATGGATGTGAAATTGATATTGTTAATTGTATAATTGGTGTGGATTGTGATGGATTGAGATATGTATGTGAGATGAGGATTAAGATGTGAAGATGATGAATGATTGATAAATTATGATATATATATATATACTTGTAAATATTTTATTAAATAATGAGTTATGATGAGATTATATTGTGATGTGTTTATATGTACTTTGCATATAGATATTTTCTTTTCTCACCGTATAAATTGTGGATATTTTAGGTGAAGAAGATCTGGCTACGAGTGGCATCTAAAATGCCAACAGTTAAATTATGGAATGCTCTGATAGTGTGACATCGGGGCATAGGATTTTTA